GCCCGCTGGCAAGAGCCAGGCCTTTCATGACAAGTCTTAAAAGAAAACCTCAAAGATGAGTAATGAGAGCTAACTGAGAGCGCTGCCTCGGGGTCAAGATGGTGCAGCTTGGGAGGGCGACAGCTGCCCAGGTTCCTGTATTTTCTAGGTGAATCGAAAGCTTCGGTCTCCCAGTCCACCAACACAGTGACAGATCCAACAAAGACCATCAGAGGCACAAAATGGAACTTCTGCAGAAAGACTACAAAAGTGTCTCTGACATGCTGGCCTGCCGTCTAAAATGATCTGATCTCACTGCTGGTTTTTACTTTAAAGCTGACTATGTTCAGTCCCAGAAGCACCTCAGTACTGAGCAGCTTGAGCTCAGTTTATAAGTCCATCTGAAATCACAAAGATGGAGCGTCCTGTATGTCAAGTGCCAGATCCATCAGAAGCTCTAAAAGCAGGTCTAGAGCACGGTGACGGGACCAAGCTCCCCCGCAGGTGTGGTGCCTCTACCACCTTTTAAAGACCTGTGATGGTTGCAGTGACATCCCTTGCGGTTACACAGGTGGGTCTGCGGGCAAACAGTTCAACAAGCAAGCTTTTGTGCAGGATGTTTAAGGCCTGAATTCGGTCCTTTTCTCCTGCGAAGGGGAGTTTCAAGCCCTGCGTGTATCAGGGAAGTGCCATGACTATGTTACTCCTCCACAAGAAAGCTCCCAGCTAATTTTTGGGGCCCTCGGTGGGTGAAGCCTCCCACGGGGAAGAAGCTACCGAGACAACTTTCTCATTTCCAAGTTCATACAGTCCTGGAGGTTCTACTAAGCTGCCGAAGAACGAAAAAAGCGGGAGCTGATTTTGTCAGCGAATCTAGATAAAAGTGAGAAGCAAAGCACAGTCACAACTTGCGTGTCCATCTTTCCCAGAGGCTGAAGCGTAAGGGAAGGGTGGCAGTGCCCCGGCCGGGCTCCCCGAGGGCACTGCAAGATGCCCTGTAACTCTTCACCGCGCCCTCGATCCCCGGGGGTAGCAGTCGCCACGCTTTAACGCAGTTTTTGGCAAGTGTACACGCATCTCCCGGGGTTCCGAGCGGGCTTTAGCCGCGGAGGGCGTGAAGCACCGCGGGCGCCGTGTCCCCCCACGGCTGCCCCTCACAACGCAGCGGCGCGGGGTCCGCTTTCGGTGGAGAGGGGCCTCCGGGGGTCCCGTCCCCCGTCGTGAGGGGCGACAAGACCCGCGGCAAACCCCGCGGGGCACCCCGAGACTTTCGGGCGGCGGAGCGGGAAGGAGCGCGGTGGCGGTGCCA